GAACTCAGTTCCTTGCACTTGTGAGGCAGGTGCTGGAATTACTGAGCTAAATCCCCAGCACCTCTGCCTTTGATTGGGTTGCTTAGCCCATTAACATTTGATATTATTTTCGGCAGTTATTTTTAACTATTTCTACATGTCTTTTCTCATTGCTATTCTTTTGTTCTTCCTTTTTTACATTAAGTGAATATTTTCTAGTGGAGTATTTCAAATACATTCATGATAATTTACTGGTTTTTGAGTTTTTCTTACTGACTGTGCTATGGCTTACCATATGCATGCTAAATGTGAAATTTTATTAGTTCATGTTTGTAGTACTTAGCAATTATTTTCATTATTGGGAGTAGGTACATGTACGTAACACATCTTAATTATTTTTACTTGCCCTTCCCCTCCTTTCTACCTCCCTCCATCTCTAGATCCCTTTCCCTTTTGCAAATGATTTATCTCTCTGATTCCTATTATCCATCAGTTATTTTGCTCTTGAATTATTTATACTTGGTTTACTCCTATAAGAGAAATAACACAATATGTAAGTCCATGCATCTGATTTAATTCACTTAATATTATGGTCTCACGTTGCATCCATTTTCCTACAAATGATTCGAATGTATCCATTTTCTGGCTGAGTAGTATTCTATTATATATAAATACTGCATTTTCTTTTTCTAGTCATCTCTTGATGGGCATATAGACCCTTCCAAGATTTAGCTATTATGAGTTGTGCTGCTATAAACCTGGGTAAGCATGTATCACTGTGATAAGAGGTCTTTGACACTATGGGCAAGGTACCTAGAAAGAGAATACTCGATCCAATGGTATGTCTAGTTTTTTGAGGAATCTCCGTATTAATTTTCTCAGTTGTTGTACTAGTGTACATCCCCACCATCAATGTAAACTCATTTCCCCCCTGTAATCTTTCCAAGATTTGCTATTGTTTGATTTCTTGATGATAGCTATTTTTTTCAGAGTAGGGCAGTGAGCAGGATGTTACAGGGGCGTAGAGGCCCCCAGTGTTTGGAGGGTGGGGAAGTGGGGTTGCCTGTTCTAGTGCTTCTGGCACTCCCTTTCTTGCTTGTGTTTCACTGGTTGCCGTCTGTGGCTCCCTGGAGCTCTATCTGCAGTTATCTCCCACACTGGGTTCCCGTTTCCTGTGGGAGGGACAGTATGTGGGAGTTTACCCTATGAGTCCGGTCTCTGCAGAAGTATTGGCTCCTTCCCTTGCGATGGTGGAGCTGTCCCCAAGATGGTGTGTTTGCTTAGTAAAGGATGCTGTAGATCAGTGGTGTAGTCCTGTTTCCCTTTCTCAATCACTCTAGCATTGGTTTGACCTAGTGAATTTCTCTTTCATGTTGATTCTGTGTATCTGAGTATGGTTGCCTCCCCGATTTCAGAATACTTGCATTATCAGGTAGCTATCCTTGGAGCATCTCTTGCACAACCTCTATCTCTAGTCAGCCATGATGGATTCCTACATGTTCATTTATCAAAATGTACTTTAGATTTGCACTAACGTGGTTAAATGAGCTGTTTAGTTTCTCTTAAGTGGCTCTATCCTTTCTTCTCCTTTTGTGCTGTTATTGTTAATGCATATGTTCTGTCTCTGCCACATATGTATATGTACCTAATAGTAAATTATTTTGTCTAGTACCTTACCCTCTATGATTATGTTTATACTGAAGAAGCTAAGAAAAGAAAGAGTATATAGTCACAGATTTTCTTGCAGTTACCATCTTATTTACCATTTCTGGTCCAATAAATTCAAGTTGCCATCTGGAATCATTTTTTCACTCCAGAACTCTTTCATTCTCATCAAACTACCACTGTGCTGTTGTGGCTCAAAATGCCACATTTGTGTACACTCTGTGCTCATCAGTACAATTATATAATACTATCCTATGCAATTGCTCTTTAAAGAAGAAGAAATGTGGATTTACAGCTATTCACAGTTATGCAATTACATGTATCACTGCAGTGTGGATTCAGATTAGTATACAGGCTTATGTGGCTTCAGGAGGAAGATGTTCCTTTAGTATTTCTTGTAAGGGAAGCCTGCAAACAACAAGTCCTCTTTTTTTGTTATGTGAATTGTCTTTATTTCGCTTTTATTTGTGAAATACGATTTTACTGAATTTGACTTTTGTTTAAAAGCTTTCTTTTTGTATATGGCATCACACTGCCTTCTAGTCTTCGTTTCTGATCACATGCCCAATATTAAATTTTATGGAGTTCCCTTCTGCATGACAAGTCATTGCTTTTCTTTTGCTGTTAGAATTTTCTTTTTGTTCAAGCATTCTTACTATCATTATGAAACACCTGTGTTTATACTACTTGGAATTTTTTTTTAACTTCTTGGATATATAGATTAATATTTTTATCAGATTGGAAAAGTTTGAGCTGTTACTGTTTGAATACTTTCTGTTTCTTCCTCTCTTCTCTTTTTCTGTTTTTTTTTTTTAATTTTGCAT